GGCACAGTGTGGTTTTGTGTTGTGGTGGCACAGTGTGGGGTTTGTTGTAGTGGTGCAGTATGGTTTCTTGAGATGGCACGATGTGGTGGTTTGTCATGGTGGCAGGTGTTGTGGTTTGTTTTGGTGGCACAGTGTGATGGTGAGGTATGGTTCCTTGTGGTGGTACAGTGTGGTAATGTATTTTGGTTTGTTGTGGTGTCACAGTGTGGTGGTTTGTAGGGTGGCACAGTGTGGTGGCAGGTTCTCTGAGTTGCTGAGGTCTGATGAAGTTAAAAGTTAATATTACAGAGCAATAAATTGATGAGGTACATGCCTTGTCTTGTCTAAATGTCAAATTAACCTACAGCAACATACTCTATAAGCTAACAGCAAATGTAACAAATTGTATCTTACGTTCATCACAGTGTACGCCAGTCCAGTCTGTACAGACACACAAGTAACCATTCTGTTGGTCTACACATACACCACCATTATTACATGGGTTTGTGGCACATTCATTGATATCTGAAAATAACAACAAACATATTACAGTCAATTGGATATATCCCGACTCCAATTATATTTCTGCTCTCATTATAACTCATAACGCTGTAAGATTAGAACAACTGATTACCTACTTCGTTTCAAAATATTGTTGATTACCGACAGACTTTGTCTACATTCCCAACATATTTACACATGCAAATAAACAAGTCTAGACAGAGGTACATTACTTGGGATTTGCAACTACGGTGACATGATACCAAGATCCTGTTTCAATCTCGCTCTCGCATAGGCGTTCCAACTCGGAAAAATGCAAATGCGGATGCCTGAGGTAACTAGGATACTGGGATGTCCAGGTGGATCAAAATAGCCGTTCATGATATGACGGATTATGATAACTATATTTTCTGTAGATTTTTGATGTATCACATTTTTTTGCTATGAATGTGGTAATACATGTTTTATTGTTTTATTACAAACCACCTATGTCATGTCAGAAGGTTGTAGCATCAGTCTCGCTATCTACGAGATGAGACTTGAATAAGATCTTGGCTAATGTCACCATACAGTACTATGCGCGTTGCAAACCCCAAGTAATGTACCTCTGGTCTAGACTATAGGCAAAAGTCTGCAGGTAATCGGACAACTGTGTAAGTGTTCCACTGTGGTTTGAATTTACTTACCAATTTCACACCTTAGCCCAGTAAATCCAGGATAACAAGAACATTCAAAGCCATTTACTTTATCTATACATTGACCTTGCCCATCAGTACACTTTGCGATACCATTCTGATCAGGAGCACAATCATAAACATCTAAAAATTTTCAAAAACAGATAATGCATACAATGATCTCAGAAATGACAATCAAATACAGATTACAATACAGATGCTATTGTAAATCTAGATTAATTCATCTAGCTCTTGAGAGTGAACTGTAAAATTTAAAATGACTGCTATAATATGAAAGATTATGAACTAGCAGTATGTTATTTTTATTAAATATAGTATTTTTATTACGTATTGTTTGTACAACTATTAGGCCAAGAAAATAATATTCCATTGTTACTGGTCATTGGTCAACATTATTTAAAACTATTTCTTATCAGTCCAAATGAAAGTTTTTAGACTAACGATAACCTAAATTTTTTTTTCTTTTCCTAAATACCATTTCCTTTTTTGAATTTGATCCAATTTTGACTGTTTAATTTGTTGTGTAAGTGCCACATTTGATTTGTAATTTATGCAAATAAATGACTGATAAAACACATTTAGATAAATATACTCACCAACTTCACACCAATCACCTGTGAAGCCATCGCGGCATTCACAATGGATATCATCAGTGTAATAACATGTGGCACCATTCCTACATGGATTAATACCACTACATCCAGAGACACCTGGAACAAGACAAATAGAAAGCATTTAGAATGACATCCTTCTCAAAATGTTAATGTAAAATTTTAAGTTATGAACGAAAACATTGGCTTTTGTTGTCAAAAGTTTCATTATTCAAGTTCTTCACCAATTTTCAAGTTCTTCTCCATTTTTGACCAAAAAGACACATTTCTGCATTGATTACAGATTTTACATACCGGTACATGGAATGACAACCATGCTTTATTGTACTTTGATCTATGTTCATTTTTAGGAAACGACTTCAATAAAGACAATTATTATTACATTTTTAAAATATAGAAAAGTAGAATATGACAGAATATGACAAAAGTTGCCTTTGGCACTCAAATTATTCATGTAATTATGCAATATCATCAAATTAAACTCTAGTTATATACCCACCATCCACTTCACAATTCTTTCCTGTCTTTTCAGGAGGACAATCACAATCATAATCATTTTCTTTATTGGAACACACACCATTATTTTGACATGGACTCAGACGACACTTATTCATATCTGAAAAACAATATTAAAAAAAGAGATACAGTTAAAGTTATAAAATAAAATCAAAGAAAGCTTAGAAAGAACTCCCGTGTGCTGAGAGTATTGGAGACACATTAAAAATTAATTCAAAATTACTTTAACTTGAGATGTTGATGGAAACGCAGAAAATTAGTTATGCAAATAAGGTAATGAACAGATTTAAGTGTAAAACTAATAAGGTCTGCACAATGTACCAAGTTTCATTGAAATGTGATTAGAACCAACAAAATATTAATTATTATGCTAATTAGAGAATTAATATGAACAGATTTTAACCCAAAATTAATCAGGCTGTCTATTGTTCTAGACCATTTATGTACCAAGTTTTATTCAAATGTGATGATCAATACTTGAGATATACAGTATTAATTAATTATGTTAATTAGGTGATTAAGAAGCACAAATATTTACCAAAAACTAATATGGTGTATAGTCCTAGGTTCATTGAAATGTGACAGGTACTCTTGAAAAGTTTCGTTGAAATCCAATGAGTGGTTTTTAGACATCAGTGCAACAGCCATAGAACAGCAAAAAATTAACTAATTATGCAAATTAGGTAATTAATAGGCACAATTATTTATCCCAAAATTAATCAGGTCTCTGCATATAGTCCTAGAATATCTATGTCGCAAGTCTCATTGAAAT